TGCAATAAACTCCAACTAATAATTCAGCTGACTTTTTGTCCTTTCATGGTATCGTATCATGTATGATATATGTAGACAAGGGGAAGAATTTAGTGACAACTGTAGCTGACATTAACCGATGATCATTGAGACTCGCTCTGACCGTCGCAAATTTAGATAAGTATCGGGATGGGCACTGTCAACATACCGAAGAGACGAAGGAAAACACTGACGTACACGTTTATACTACTGGGATAGAAACCTGCTGTGGTGGAGTCACGACAATAAAAGGAATAGGGAAGGCATGCCGGGATAAAAGTGCACTCGCGGTTTTATTTCGAGTGTATATTCTTACCACGGCATGTTTCTCGCGAAGGACTCAGTGTCATCGCGGGTATTTCCATAAGAATATCGTCCTGGTGAAACGGCGCGCGCTCGATAGCCGATGGAATTTGCGTGTAATCGAGTTTCTACACAATCTAGCGGTAAATTTCTCCGCGTTACGACTCGCGTTCGTTTATGAGTGGCAATTGCATCGTGTCGGTCCCATGCATGCCATTAAACACTTCGCGCCGCGCGTGGGTTCCTTGCGTATGTTCCTTTTGTTTGTGCCAGTCGTATCCTTCCCTCGCATCTCTCTCGCATAAGAATTATTAGAATAAACTATCGACTAATAATAATAAAATAGTAGAAAGTAAATATATATATACGGAAAGAAATATTTTACAGAAAGAAATATTTAAAAATTTCATTAGATACAGATCTGAAAATAATTTTGTTGAACCATTAAAATTATAATTACGTAGAAATCTCAAGTATGACGAGCAATGCTGCAAAAAATTTTGATACTCTTTGAAGCAACCAGTTTTTATATAATTATTTTTATAGTCCAACAAAATTATTTTCAAATCTGTATCTTATATCTGTATCTGAATTTATTTATATCAACTGGATTACAATAAAAAAAAAACTTGCGTGCCCGGATTAAAATTAATGTTCTACATTGAATGATTTCCATAATATGGATATTTCCAATTAAAATAAAAAAATGATATAAATATATTCACAGAAATGCGATTAATGTGATTCGAGCACGTCAAGTTTTTTCTTCACAATTCAATTAATTATTTCAATCATTTTTAGCCCATTTTAATTTTTAGAATTAATGAATTTTTTACAGATAAGATTTGTCATTTTTTAAAATAATAATTTAACTAATTGCATTGATTTTATATCTGTACAGTTAATTTTTGAATAATTATACTTAAACCGTTTATAAATATATATATTTGATATAAACTTAACGAAATATGAAATTTTCTTTCGTTATCGAAAACTTGGTTGTCGAGATTTTAAGTTATAATATTAATGAAAATAAAAAAAATAAAGAAAAAAATATTCTTTCTCCTTCAAATTATTATGCGTATTATATTTGAGAAAATACATTAGGAAATATATATCGCAAAATTCAATAAAATTCCATAGACAAAATATGTTTCGTTAATATCAAGGGTTCTTCAAGAAAATATCGGTATCTTTTGATTCGCATAAAGATTGCACGTATTGCTTGCTGTCCCTCGTTATGGATGCAAAATCTTCACGAATTGCCGCGCGAATTATTGTGCTTTCATATACACTCGAGATCTTCGCGCGAAAACGCGAATTGACGGCATCGTCGTACGGAGGGGGATAAGCTTAAGAGTGCGAAAAGCTTGTTGCACGGGATTACCGTCCCCTCGCCGAGAACGCCGAGTCATAATATATAATGCGCGTTAGACGTAATGACACTTAAAATGAGTAAAGAAAACGCGCGGACGGACGCCGCTAGGACGAGGAGCGAAAGCGGGAAATAAAAGCGGGATGGAGGAGACGAAGAGGAGAAGAGGAGGAGGAGACAGAGGAGCGGATTTGCACGTACTGCATCGCGGAGTCGCGAAATAAACGGAGATGTTGGCGCGCGGCACGCAAAAGCCAGCACGCATCGCCGAGAGGGAGAAAGAGGACTCTATTCCGTGCCGTGCCGATGCGAAACTCTCGCGTTTAAACCAATTAATGGACGGCGAGTGCGTTAGTTAGCTCCTTCGGCGAGAAGAAATCTAATATGGAATTATTCCGATTATACGCTGTTGAGCGTTTAATTAAATAAAATGATTTCGTTTTGGACATTTCACAACATATTTCGGTATACGAGAGGGTGCTTTCAACTTTAAACACGTTAGAGAGGAATCAGAGAAAAAGAAAGAACGATGATAGTCTTTCAATACATTCTATAGGCTGAGTTTCAAAATGCACCGCCACCGTTGAAAATCTATACTTTATGTTACATAATTTGTGTAAGGTACACTACAAATTTTCGGTAGTGGCAGTAGATTTTGAATCGTAATAATAATAATTAAAGGACTTGCTGTAATAATGAGTTAGCTCACATTTTATAAAAACGGAGATAAATAAATTCTAAAGTTAAAGAGTGATGAGAAAAATGTCAATATCACATATTTGAACTTTAGAGTTCATTTACTTCGTTTTTACAAAAGTTAACTTACTGTTGTACAAAGTTCCAAAAAATTATAAATTTATTATAATAATTTTAAATAAGAGAAGTAGAAATTTCACTTATTTTTACTGCGTTATGCGGCAGCAATTTGAAGATGTTCTTTTTTTGAGAATCGAATCTTTCAAAAGGAGAGATCGAAGGGTACAACTGTACGGTTAGTACATTTTGTATTTTCTGCATTCTTTCCTTTCAGACCCTTTTTCGGGTCTGAACCCCTCGATTACGCTTTATCATCGTTATATCCAGCGAGAGCTTTCACCGGCGCGGTCTGATGACTCACTGCGCCGTCGTCGTTCACGATGGTAATCGTCCCGGCGATCTGGAGGCCTGCTGTCGCGGTCAGTGGTATCCGAGGAGACGAATCACCGGAGACACCCTCGCATTACACGCATTACGCGACAGCTGAGAAATCGTTCTCACCTCTTTTTTCCTCTCATATTTCAACAGTGAATTAATTAATCTCTATTATTACATAAAGCACCTATAAAATCCCATACAAATTTTTAATCTGCTAATCTAGTTTACTTATTATCAGCCTCATTATTTTAATCCTCGATCCTTTTTAGAGTACTGTTATTACACGTACAAATTCGTTAGTATTTATTTTTTATGACTTACTTATTTTTCAAACTACAATGTATCTACGTGATTTTATTATATCAAGATAAAATAAAACTGATTTATTATTTTAACTATCAACCCTCTTTCAAATACTGCTGCTGCACGTATACACTATTTGGTGTTCATTTGAAAACATTTTTAGACTACGTTTTGCGCTCGCAGAATTATATTATATTAAGATAAAATAAATCTGACATTTTACCTGATCGGGCCTCAGTCCGGGTGGCACCCACGTGTACTCCTCGAGCGCACAACCACTGTCGTCGTCGCTTTGCGAGTGCCTCTGGTGATGCTGCATCAGAGCCTCCTGCAGCGCCAGACCGGCCGGCGCAGCTTGCACTGGACTCTTGAACGGCTCCTGGTGAGGCGCGCCCTCGGCGCCGCTCGGAAAGGCCATGGCCATCGCCATCGGCGGACCTGGACCCAAGCCGAGTCCCGAAGGACCGCCCGCCTCTGTCGAGGTCCGCTGGTGCTCCTCTCGCGGGCACCTGCAGCTCCTGCACACTTTCCTGTAAAAAGAAAAAGATATTCATAAGAACGATGTTTCATTAATGTTTATATCTAAATATTTTTCCAAATTACATTGGCATAGTGTAGTGATCAGGTTTTCATCTCAGTGTTTTAATGGACCACATATTTGTAACAAAGAAGGAAGACATAAGCATTGGATATGTATCTACAGTTTTTAAAATCTATTTTGTAATGTTACAGAACACTGTTTTTGTAATATGAGAATCCAACATTTATTGTAACATTATTATTTTAACATTGAAAATGACTCGAAACGTTTGTATTTTTTATTAACTTATTTTTAAACATTAAATGTTATTAATTTTAACTGACTCGTAGCCCTTGTGATTTACTTTGATTTATTTCAATTGAACCATTCTACTAATCTATACATATAAATTTATTATATATATATAAAGATAAGATCTCAAAATAGATGTAAAAGGATTCTCACGGGAGGAACAGAGCAATTGTGTTTCTACGTTCATGTTTCCTTGAATTAAATTACAGACCTACAATTTAGGATCTTCCTATTATTAAAGCCTGGAATTGTATTTAATTACAGACCTAAATTCTGTAAAATCTACCTGACTTAGGGTAGCCTAGAATTCTGAAATGTAGAACTTAAGGTCCCAAATATATCCAACAGACTCTAGAAATTCTGTTTAATCTATTTAATCCATATTTCTGTCCTTATTAGTGTGTTTCACATATATGATATAAGAGGAAAGATATAAGAGGAAAATTGGGGACATGCGGTAACGAGAGTAATTGAATATGATGTACGACATAGAACGAATGAATTATTAGTATCTAACTGTACATATTACCGCTGACAGCACTTAATTCTTCGCTTGAATAAATCGATATGATTCAATCTAAAATTTTTCGTTCGGCGAGCGTGTAAAGAAATCGCACGTGCTGTTCCACATGTTCTGGATCAGCGAGCACTGAAACTATCAAAAGGACGTGTGAGGATGTTTTCCACCGTATAATTGAGAAACGATTCATGATTAATATGAGTTTCGCTGTGCAAATATGTCGTTTTCCGGCATCGAGGACGATAAATTAAACCGTTAAACAGAAAATTGCGTTCTAAATAAATCTACGTGAAAGTAGACGAGATAATAAAAACAAACTAATAATGGCTCATACATGGCATTTGATTTTTACTTTTCGAAATATTCGCTTTGGTAAATTTCTATGAATATGTCGCTTGATTCCATCGCAACTCGTGCATATGTATTATTTTCTTATTAATAAAGGTATGTATATTTGCTTATTACCGTTATGTTTCTTAATATCTGGTGTTTAAATTAAAAAAAAATTTTTTACGGTATTTATTTTTATGAAAGTTGTAAGCAAACGAATATGAGTTAGATATACTTTATTATTTTTTTTATTTACTTTAGTAAAATGTTGCCCTGTAATGTAACGTTTAAGATTAAATGTCTTGAAAATCATTTTGTAATTTAAATCAAACTTATATTTAAAAATTAGATATAAAATAAAAAAAATTACTTTGCCTATAAAATATAGAATTGCAAAAAATTCCTTATTTTTATTAGTATAATTTGGAATAAACTGGCACTTCAATATTAAAATTTTTTGATCTTTATCTTTGAGAAATATTCCATACATTCAATGTAGGTACACATATACAGATTCTTCACTTAGATTTCAGAATAAATGTTCTATTTTTCCACAACACACAACGTTTTTTTTTTATTTTTATTTAATGTGACTTCCTTGAGTTTTTCCGTAAAGAACAATTTTATGTCCGCGGAAAAAAATCTCGGAAAATATTTCTTTCCATCATCGATAGTAGCAACTTACTCGGAACAACCAGTGGCCGCATCGTAACTCGAATGCATCGAACCGCAATCGGCTACGCGGCCGCATTCCGCGTCTACCGCAGCACGGCGACCGAAATTGGTTCCGTCGTCGTGATGAGCGCCCTTCAGGAACTCCACGCACTTTTCCGTCGGACTCGCGCGCGACGTCGCCAACGCCGGACACCCAACCACCACAGCGACAACATCGTCGACATCGTCGTTGTTACCATTCGCGCCGTCTTCGCGATTTCTCAGAAATGCGTCCAGGTAGTGATGCTCGGAGTCGGTAATAGATGGAAGATCATAAACACCGGGCGTCGCCCAAGGTGCATCGATACCGACGGTACGCGCTGCGACATCCTCGTCGTTTTGGCTACCACTATTCCTGGCATCTTGATTATTCTTTCTGCCGTAGAGCTTGCGCAAGTATGCTTCCTGGTGGCTCCTGGTGGCCCAGCAACCGCCTTGCCACCATCGCTTCGAACCAAGCACCGCTGTGCGTCTTCTCCGCGCCAAGCTCGACATGCTTCTTCTTACGCGACGAATGGCGGCAAACGCGATGGGCGAGCAGCGACAACCACATCCGGACCGACGACCGACGGGAACGAGGTGGTCGTTAAGATCGATTTCCACCGGCGGTTTCTTCCACCGTGACTTCACGGCGTAACCCAAGCCCGACGGTAATAATCGCCGTGGCCAAGACCTTCTAATCTAAGGAACGCCGGCGGGGTCTTCTCTCCTTCCTTCCTCCCCCCTCTACGGTATATTATGTCCCTTTTCGCGACCACCGCCGCCCGGTTTCTCTTGCAAAAGCTAATAAGACGACGCTTCGGGGTACTCGAGACACATTGGGCTTTTTGCTTCTTCGTAGAACCCTTCTGCCGGATATAAACGTATTAAATGCCTCCCGTGGTATACGCTCTTGATTGCGTCTGGAGCCTGAATTTCCGACTTTCTTAGAAATAATGGCTCGTCAAAGAGGCGTTTGTCCGTCACGAACGATGTTTTCGTGACTATATTCGGAGTCTTCTTGGCGAATAGCTTTAATAAGATATATTCGCTTCACTTTATCAATACTTTTTCCTTGATGTCAATTTAACTGATCAATAGATCACACTAATCGGTTGCCAAGATGTAGTCACTTCAGCTTTTTCGCCGAATGCATTCTCGTCAATCGTCACAAAGATTTGCCACTCTGTTCTTCTTCTTCTTTTTCTGTTCTCCAGAATGCTTTTTCGACCCACAGAGATAGGATTAAGTTGAACCAATAAATCTAGTGGTTTGTCTCCTCAGATGAAGAAAGCTTCACTTCTTATAAATCAAATTTTTCACAAGTGTATTTATAATAACTGACGATCGCAACAGCAACTTCGCGAAACGAAGTCCGAGATCATGGGAAATAGTGTTCCCGATCTGTTCGCCGACATACCTTCCGTTGCAGTTCTCCCCGTTATCACGATATGTCAACAACGCCCGCGTTCGTAGAAACATCACGTCGGAGTTCATCGCTGTACGTCATTCTCCTCGCGTCGATGCAGAACGGACGTATGGAGGAAATGAGAAAATTCGCGAAATACAATCGACATTTCGTACTGCGAGAGGGAGACGTCTCATACAAAGATATCTCGTCAGAATAGAAGCGTTTCATGCCAAACAGAACGGACGCGAAAATGGAGAGTTCAATCGCGCGGTGTAATATCGTCGTCGTCGTCGTCGTCGTCGTCGTCGTCGTCGTCGTCGTCGTCGTCGTCGTCGTCGTCTTGCGAGCGTCTCGCGAGCGTCTCGCCACCAGTGGAATCAGACTCATCGCGCCGCCTGTTCACCATCTCTCGATTGGCACGCGCGTTCGCGAAACGCGAGCAAACTTCGCGACCTCGGTCTCTCGAGCAATAAGGGCAATAGAGATGACGGGAAGGAAGAAGCAGCAAGGGACGGAATGATCGAAAAGAGAACAAGAAAAGAGAGAAGAGGATCGAGTGCGCTCTGGCGAAAGTAGTCGCTATAGGAGGTGAGGATCGCGGGAGGGAAGAATCGTGAAAGATAAAGAAAAAGGAAAGAAAAAAAAGAGAAATAAAGAGAGACAGATAGCTGGCAAGAAATAGGGTGAGTAAGGCAGACCGGAGGGATGAGGACTAATCTATACGTATAACCGGTAGTACAGCACGGATTAACGTTTTAATACGCGACACCTATCGCGCGGTACAAACACGATCGAATAGCCCGAGATATGTGATCTGGAACTTGTTCAGATCCTTCTCAGGACCTGCAGCAGATGCGTGGAAACTTGTATGCGCGGATGACAGCCGCGAACGATTAGCCTCTTGTGCGAAATGATCAGCGATTATTCGCTGATCCAGCGGGATCGGTCCGTTTCGTCGCTAAGCGTCATTCCGTTCTTCGAAGCACTCCTCTGAGCGTGGTCTCAACGAGTTCACGTCCGTTTTCAGTTGCAGAAAATCCGGATGACACCCGGTGGAAACTTCGTCGCGACGATTAGGTCATGTGATGCGATCGTGAAAAACATGATGGAATGCGATTGACGCGACGCGCATTAAAACTTTCAGAGAGGCGGCGTCATCGTCCTTCGTTTCTACCGGCACGGGGCGTGCTGAGGCCGAGCGGACACTGAGCATACTCTGGGACTCAGCGGGCCCCCGTGTCTGCGGGACACGCGGCGTGAAGGGAATAAGTCGGGGCCCGCAAGCAAGTGCTGGCCCCGCGCGAGGAAGAAGGAAGGAGGAACGAGCGAGCGTGCGAATGCGTGTAACTCTCTGACGTTACCAATACGCGCGCAAACTCCCCTCTTCGCCGAAGAATCTCCTTCTCTCTCTTTCTCTGTCTCTCGCTCCTCTCGATATATTTATATTCGTTTCTAATACGTGCGGCGTGTCGGGGTCTGACGCCTTTCGCCCGTGGGCCTCACCGTCGGAATACGCGAGGCCCGGTTCCGCTTATGCGTGCCTCGCGACGGGCCTCGGCCCCCCGAGCTGGCAAACCGAGGACGCTCTGCATTTACTCCGCTCTGTTCTGCTTCGTTCTGTTCTCTTCGAGGAACAACTTCTGCTACTTCTGCAATGAACATCTGCGATGTTCTAAGAGACACACGCCGCGTTTCTCTATACTATACACGCAAGACGACATTTCGTTCGCTCTTCCGTCGCGATTAAGTACCGGTTGGATAAAAACAAACATAAAGAGAAGCGTTTCTATGCTGAGGGATAGCCGGTCGCATTACGATCCTTAAATTGCTACAGATGAGAGGACATGTCCCGCAGAGAAGATAGAAGGCTAATGAAAGTAGTTTGTGCTAAATGGATCTGATAACTCGACCATATTCTTAGTTTTAATTTTTTTTTATTTTTAGATAAAAGATTTGGAGTGCAAGAAAATAGAATAAGTGCATCTATAAGATTTACTTTGAATATAACTTTTAGTAACGTTCAATAAATTTTTCATATTTATAGATCCAACTTTTGTCTTAAGTATCCTTTTTATCCGACTTTCAGAAACGACATTCAGCTGTAAGAATTTCGGATTATCGCACTAAGAGAAAGTATTTTATATCTATATGACTATAATTGCACGGTAAAATAATTATGATATAAATTATAATTGTTTTCAGTGTCAACAATACTATACATTTTTTGGTATACAAACTATAAATAATGTTTATAAACTACATGTATTCACTTACTGTCATTTATGACTATAATTATGATTACGAACATTATAGCAGTAATAATAAAGATATTATAGCAGTAATAATAAAGATAAAAATGGAGTTAACCATAATTATTTTATCACACAATCAGCTACAAATAACAAATACTTTTTCCTCAGTATGTTTTCCTCAGTATGTTTTATCTAAATCAATTTCGAATTAGGATCGAATTAGGACGATAAGAAAGATAGTTTAATAGCCTAATTCTTGTCGATCATGTTCAGATACAAATTCCAGCTAATATTTCAAAGAAGCTTCTGCCTGGTTCAGATATCACTTGTAGGGATATCAACAAATAGAGATAAGCTTGAAAAGCCAGACCACCCAAATCGAAAATCTCTATTTCTTTACATGTTCGTTAGGTTATTAACTCTTATTTTTACATAAGCCGTGTCTATTTCAACAATCTTTCATACTCATTCTTAAGATAAGTCTATCTGTGAATTAGCATGTTAATTAGATATCATGTATAATACATGAGCGGCGCATACTTAATTTCGTTTCTCCCCATTTTCGGACAATTCTGTATATTTTTTAGACTATTATGTGTGGATTAACTAGAAAACAAAAATAAAATACAAAATTTATGACTACAAGTGCTCTTCGTTGGTAATTTCGAAAATTCTTTTTCGTGTGACACAGCTAAAAAAATTAATAAACATTTCTAGTGTGCAACTAGTTTCTAATGTGCAACACAAATATTTTTTCGCTTATATGTGAATTCGCTAATTCCTTCTTTACACTGTCATTTAACTGTGCATCTATTATCATGGTATTATCATGATATTATCATGTTTTATTTGTCGTGTACGTTCTCATTCTCACGGAGCTTTCCCTAAAAACAACAAAATATTCAGTCTACTTATTTTTCACATGCTCGTGTGTGCACTGAGAAAAAAATTTTGTATTTGTAACTTATAATTACATTAATTATAATTATTACTGCTATAATGTTAGTAATAATAATTATATGTGTAGTTCTATTAGCAAATATAGTTGATAATCGAAAATGACTATAATTATAGTTACATATTACCATGAAAATTATTGCAATTACTACAATTTAAAATTATAAATAATTTATAGTCATTTCTGGGAATATAAAATGTAACTATAAAAATAAAATTTATGTTATTAATAGAAAATATGGCATAAAAAACGGCTATAAATTGCAACTAAATTACATATATAGTAATTGCAATCATTTTTATGATAACAACTAGTCATTTTCGATCATTTTTATATTTTTTAATAGTCATATATATATATATATATATATATATATAT